CAAATCATCATCTTCTTCAAAAACCGTATCTCTCCTTCCATTTCTGAAACTTCCTTAGCGTATACAACTACATCCGTTTTCATGGCTTCCAACTTGTTTCCATATCCACGAAATGTGTCTTTCATGTGCTCAATCTCTTTCTCAGTAGAACGAAGCACCTCTTTCATGACATCTATCTCCTCCACCATTGCTTCATCGGTCCATTTGAACAAATGGTTTGCATCCTTCAAAATAATAAAACTGTAACTACACACTACAAAATGCTAACTTATATACGTCATAACACTGTCAATTCTTAGCACTAACAATTCTTACCGCTTCTGATCCCTGAGGACAACAATGAAACAACTGGCCAGGATTTTTAGTTGTGCCGGAAGTTCTTATCACCAAATATTCGCCACACCTACAACCAATAGGAAAGCCTCTATCTCCTACACCAACACCACGTCTCTTACTTACACTGAACCCTGCAGATTTTTTCCAATTTTACAACTTAACAGTTATGAAAATTAACCAAATTTTTGATTCAGGAACCCAGAAAAGTGAAAAGGTACCTGAATTCGCCGACGATGCTTTCTGTTTTGATGATGTACTCATTCTCTGGCCGGCGATTTAATCCTTAATTGATGTTACCTGTTCTTCCCCAATTTTCAGATCTACCTCGACGAAAAGGAAAACCCACAGAAAAGAACTTTCTTTCTTCTCAAAACGTTGTCGTTGTTAAAAACTTTTTTTTCAACCCTAAACTTAATAAAACAACGACGTTTCGGATCCTGGAATTCAAATTCGAATTTGACTAAAATGACGATGTATCAGGATCATCTCTTCGTTAATAGAATAAGAGAGTTGACTAACAGGTACTTGGTCAATGTTGGTATTCGCCGAAAAAGGATTAATTCAGGTATGCATTGTCTACTTTTTAGGAGTTGAGGTATGAAATTGCACACGTAAATTTCTCAGGTATGAATCGGTACCATTTTTCATAGTTCAGATATGAATCGGTACAATTTTTCATAGTTCTGATGTAGATGATGCATGCTAGGATTAGTGGAACGCAAAATTAAGCTTTAAATTTATAAAACCTAGTATCCTACAAGTGTACAGTCGTGCGATGTATTACTAAGGGTGTCAATCCACAGAGCGGTTTTCTAATTTGCAAAAACTTCAAACTGAGATAAGTAAGCAAATTAATAAACTTAGGATGGTTTTTTGTAAGTTTTGGTTTTTACGGGAAAGAAAAGATAAAATAAAACTAAGGAAAATGCTAAACCTAATCGATGTAGAACTAAAATACAATAAGGTTGAGTTGCTAAGGAAAATCTAAGGGATGCTCGATTCAAAATAGGGTTCCAAACCCATAGGGTTTGACGCAGGCTTTTTGTAGCATCCTAACCCGTGCATAAATAGATTAAAAACAGAATACTTGAATTAAATCGAGGTTCTCAGTACAATATTGTTCGCATATAAGCTATTACATTGACTAAGGCCTTAACTACCCGATCCTACCATCCATCCCTTTCCAGCCTTAGTCCGCGCACGCTGATCAGACATTATCTTTATCTGCATCCACAAAAAGAGGCATAAGCAAACAGAACTGCTTAGAGAGAGCCATCATCCCGTCTCACCGAGCCAAAGTACAGTCGCATCAAACAAAGATCGAGCCCAATGCTCATCAGAACAGAAAACTACCCGCGCATGACCATACACGCTTACCTGGCCGATCATCCAGCAACTAGACAAGCCTCGGCGAGCATCACAGCCGCGAGCTTCTTGCCTGATCTAGATCGCCGGTAAGGTGGATCGATCACCACGGCATAGTCAGCAGAAATATCATGACAAGCACAGAAATACACGCAACCGACTAGAATCTAAGTAAGAATACGACCAAACTAGGCCACAGTCACGTACTCACCTTAGCTTTTATCGGACAGATTTGGTAAAGACAGAAATCTCGATCGCTTAGACTTTTTCCCACGACTGCTCGGCAGAATCTGGACCACGCTCGACAGAATCGCACTCGCTCTCGGCCAGAATCCGATAACTCTCGGCCAAACAGACTTTCTCTCGACTAACTTCTCTTAAATTTGTTTCTCTTAATCTTTCTGAGTTTTTTGGTCGCGCGAAGAAGAGAAAATGAGCCTTTATTATATAGGTTCTCACACGATTTACCAAAGAAAACCGCCCAGAAACCGTTCACGCGCCCATCTGTGCACTCCCTCGGCAATAACTGCTCCCGCGCGTGTTTTTGCTTGACTAATAACCGTTTCCGCGTAAACACTTGCTCGGCTAAATCCATTACCATTCCCGCACTTTTGCCTTAGCGCATTTTACCCGATAACCGCTCCCGCGCGCACCCGTTTCTGACAAAGGCTGTCTGCTCCCGACCAACCTTGTCCGA